ATGAAAAATTGTTGTGTTTTATATTGAGAGAGAGAGATGTATTGCATTCACATTAATTGAAGTATAAAGAGTGAATTATCAAAGTACACGAATCGGTTAGAAAAATATAGACTATACTTAGTGGATAAAAATTTCAAACGCTATCACTCAACGATATTGTTTCATTATTATAGGTAGAAGCGTTTGTGGGATATTAAGGCCACCTTCGATTTTTAAATGGAAGGCTTTCAGGGCGAGTTGAACGATCCACAACAGAAGGTATGCTCTCATTTAGTTTCTTATTCGATATTAATAACATCTTCACTTATTAAATGATATTGACACAAGAATTATTCACAATTTCTGTACTAAACATTTATAAAAATGTAAATGTGCCTGAAACATTTAGTTCCTTAAAGAGTAGATACATGATTCAGCATTGATATCATTAGTGCCAAGTGCAATTCTAACATTCATTGAACTGTCGATTTATTAAACAAATATTCAATACTACATTTCCTAAAAAAGTATTTAATTTTTAATCCGTGTTGCGCAAAAGTTTCAAGGCAAGAATAATAAATATACGTAGAAAATGTGAACTCCATAGTCAGAATATCTAAACGCATTTGCATAATCGTTACCCTCTTCCGAGTCCGTGATCAGAAACCGTTTTTTCTTTTTTCAATTCTTGATAGCCGTTACACGTATCGGAAAGAATCGAACGCCCCATCACGGTGGCACGTTTCCGATAGGAGCTTGCCACGGGGCTTTGATCCGCGAGTCCCAGTGCCTTTCCGTATGCAAATTCGTAGCTGGTAGATCAATGGCAGCACGCGACCGCGCCGCTGCCTCGAATTCACATTGAAATTTTCCCGCTGCGTTCCTGCATCGTTAATTTCCACGTGAACCGTGCACTTGTTACCGAGGGGAGTGAAAAAGATGAGAAAGGGGTACCTGACTGATGGAAGGGATGCAAGGGACTTCTTCAGTTTAATGACGAAAGAGCAGTCGCGATTCTCGATTTTCGTTCACCGATGATCTAACGGCAAATAATTTTACCTGGGAGGGTCGAGGGTCGTATGTACGTTAGAATCGGTGACATAGTCGTGCTACAGAAAATCTTCAAATATTTGAGTGGAACATTGTTATCTATATTTCATAACTAAGAGCATTGATACTGTTTTAACTCTATCACGTTTGTTCTACACGTGCAGCAAATTTCAGACGTTCATGGGAAGAGATTTGACGAAGGGAGAAAGATGGAATCCGTGTTTTTAGTTGCTCCATATAACGAGCTTCCTCGGTATTAGTATGCATTCTTGTGAGAGTCAAAAAGCGAGCCGGTAGTTCTGTCTCACCCGGCATTCCCACACCTATCCGTTCTTAATTCCCGGCATTGTCCCCCAGCTGGTCCAGACAGATACGCAAGGAAAAAAGCGCCGGAGAGTTGTCACTTTCCTCGGTTCTCTAGGAGAGAAGAATGAATACGGCAGTGGATCGGTTCGTGAGGTATATGTGAATAGAGCCGCGGCCTGAAAAAGCGAAGGGGCTGCTTCCCTTCTGAGACAATAATAGAAACAGTACCTAGCACCCTTGCCACGACCCAAATACCTTAAAATACATGATACACGACGAGCCTCTGCTCTATTTCTTCCATTCGCTCACCTCCCCCTTCCCCGAGAGCCTCTCCTCCTCGTGATCTATACATCCATCTCGACGATACAATTAAAGTACGTTGCGGTCTTTAAAGCCCGAACCTCCCCTCGATTTTCTGCAGCTACATAGGTGCTACGTTCGGTTCGTGCGAAAGGGGTGAACCGAGAAATCTGGGCCATAGGACTCTCCGCTACCTGTTCCACGGACCTCGATCCCTTTCTTCCATTATTGTTATCCTCTTTTTCATTCTCGTTACACTCCGCGCCTGATCCTCTATGCGCCGATCGGCCAATCGACGGAGACTCTTTATTCCACCGACACAACCGAATCTTCATCACCCTTCGATTCATCGGCTCTTAGGGTTCGAACCTCCATGTAGATTCTTTGATTTGTGGGATCGGTTAGTCGTTTTCCCCCACGGCGCATAATTCCGTTCGATTATCGTGGATCGCGTCCTCCGCCTGGCGAACTGGGCCGGAAGTCGTTCCGTCCCTTTTCCCTAACCCTCCGTCCGTTACCTATTAGCGGGTTCGATTTCGCCGGATCGAGTTTCTGTCTTTTGTGACCAGCCACCCGAGCCGGTGTAACGATTTTTTGTTTTCAGGTAGAAAGTTTGATCAGTCCTTTTCCAGGACTCTAGCCTGACAAATGGTGGCTAATCCTTTTTTTCTATCACTCCTAAATCCTATAATAATTCACGATTTCTCTTTGTGTACACAAAATTCGTCCAAGGATTTGTTTCATTCTCTTCCTAAATAATTGATGGTCAGATTTTGGGAACGAATTTTCTACCGGTAAATTACATACGTATAAAAGAATAAGAGATAAATTTGGAAAAATAGAAGAAGTAGGGCAAGAGTCCGATTGTACAATCGGAGTTGGGAATGGCAATCTTCATTAACGTGTACCTGGTAACAGATAATCAATTTCCGTCGCGTTTCTAATTACGTTGCGCAATGGCAGCTATTACTCTGTTAATTGTAGCCAGGTTTCCATGGAAATTATTGTTGGATTAATCATCGAGTAATCGCGTAGTCTACGTCGCTATTTCTAAAATCTATTTTCGAAACATGTGTAAAATTGCGATGTTCGAGTTCCAACAAGAATTTCAGATGTCCGGCCATTTAAATAAAGATTTCTTATCCCATTACAATGCATAAAAGTGATTTTGAACATTGTTCTACCATCTAAACAGTTGTAAATTATTACACGGATTTGCTATTCGAACGGCGAATTCGTGCCGGCTTATTTATTCCTGGCCACCCGACAGTGGCTAACAGGAGTCAACGCATTCGCTGCTGTTTCTAACGTAGCTCGGAAATCATCGTAGCAGAACTCGTGGGAAAAGGGCAGCCGGCGATCGAAGCGGCGCGCACATTTTTCGCCGCATTCCTCCATAATTCATTTTCACTCTTCGCTCGGCCCGACGCGTCGTTCGTTCCGCGAACGCGACACGGGTTCGCGTTTAATTCATTCGAATTCCAGGCACCTCCGCGGTTAGGCGCTTGACAGCCCGACGCTCAGGCTGCTCGCGTACTTACCTGGTTAAATCGAATTCTGCATCCGCGGAGCGTTACACTTGCCAGAAAATCAAAGGCTTCTTATTTCGTTTGAATCATAGAAAAATTTCTGTCACGTGAAACGGAAAACGTAATTAAGGCATTGATCGTTGGATACGCGATCTCATGGTAATTATACTTACGACAATTATACAAATAGCGTGTAGAAATGAAGCACTTAATATTCATGAGAACTTTCATTCAGTTTTGAACGTAACTCACAACCAATAATTTCTGGTTGATAGCATTTAAATCAGGATTCATACTGTTTTTTAACCGGGGTAATAATAAATTTAATTTGCATGGAGATTGTTAAATTCACTATAAACAAGGGCTCTCTTTGATTGCGCATTTCAAATAAAAAAAAATCGCGCGAGATGAACGACCGTGATTACTCCTAAAGAAAAATTGCTTTCGACTTTTATGCTATACATTATTTCATACCTTTAATAACGAAAGGAGTAATTAACCGTTGTAGAGGGTATACGCACGGAGCGCATAAAATCTGCATAATTTCCAAAGAAACGCGGGGAACGCGGATCGATAATCCACTTGCTCGTGTTTACTCTCGTATCCATTTATTTATTACTCTCGGCTCACTAAAATCGTCGGCAGCAATATTTTCAAAAATATTGATAGGAAAATAATTGTTTCGCATATTATAT